TCCTGACCCCTGCATTCTGTGTGTTACTTACTCCTGATCCCTGTATTCTCTGCATTACCCAATCCTGTCCTCAGCAATCTGCGTGTTACTTCTTCCTAACCTGTACGCTCTTTGTGGTACTTACTCCTGACCTCTGGAAACTAGGCGTTACTTATTTTTGACCCTTGTGTGTTAAAAATAGTGCATTAAAATGGGAGTGGAGTTTTGCAGGTGTGTCTGTAAAGGGTGTGTGTGTGATTTGGTGGGTGTGGTTTAAAAGTGGGTGTGGCCAGCAGGGTAAACCCAGACATTTTTAAAATCTGGTAATCCTACATTGACAGCAATAAGAACTCCTCTTCATTGGTGTCACTTGGTACAATATCCCCCTCCTTGTATTCACTGGTGTCAATGGGTGCAATGGAAAAACCCTTCATTGGTGTTAGTGGGTAAAATAATCCCCTCCTCATTCATTGGTGTCAATGGGTAAATGAGCCCCCCACACTTCATTAAGGTCAGAGGGTGCAATATTAACCCCTTTACTGATTTCAGTGGGTATGTTAAAGATACATAGCGTTGCTGTTTATTGGTTGCTTATCAGAACATGCATTTTTGCGCTGCTTCCTTTCTTCTGCGTTGACAAAAATTAAGTCATCCCTTTCGGTCAGGAGATTAGTTTGAGCGGCTGGCAGTGCCTGGTACTGTAATGCAGAGAGTGTTTCAGCACGAAGCCCCCTGCTGCCCCTCTGCATTAAACTACCCTGGTATAGGACAATACAAACACCTGCACATACATACATACATACATACATACACTTACAGTACTAGTTATCCTAAACTACACACTAGTCTTATACTGTAATGTCAAGCATAGTTCTCAAGTTAAAACCTTACATTGGGCTTGAAAGCTTTTGTCTGCCAAAAAAGAGACATCCATTCAGATTCTTCATTAATAGCAAAATCATGTGGTGTGTTGATGCTCTAGAGCAATGGAGACCCCTGGACTGATGTTCTGGCACTGGTGATCTTGGCTTTTACAAGAGGACAAAATTCAACCCCCTGCTGTTTTGCACATGTTGTTTATGGATTATGTATTTTGTTGTTTTGTATGTATTTTTAAAGAGAATTTATAGTTATTATTATTATTATACAGTATTTATAAAGCGCCAATCGTTCGCTCAGCGCTGTACATTACAAAGGGGGACAGAACATGTGACATAACAATACAATGCAAAACATGAGGGGATCGAGGGCCCTGCTCTTTTGAGCTTACAATCTAGGAGGGAGGGGATGGTGGCACAGGAGGAGATAGCTGTGGGGGATGGAGTGGTAGGAAGAGTGGAGGAGGTCGGCAAGTTAGCAGGGGGTGGGGTAGGCTTCCCTGAAGAGGTGGGTTTTCAGGGTATGCCTAAAGGAGAGGAGAGTAGGTGATAATCTGATGGGTTGGGGCAGGGAGTTCCAGAGGATGGATGACACCCTGGAGAAGTCCTGGAGGCGGGCATGGGAGGAGGAGACCAGGGAACTAGAGAGAAGGAGGTCTTGTGAGGAGCGGAGTGTTCGTGTTGGGTGGTACTTGGATATTAGGTCGGTGATGTAGTTCGGGGCAGTATGGTGGACAGCTTTGTACGTCAGTGTTAGGATTTTGAATTTGATCCGTTGCTCAATCGGAAGCCACTGGAGGGATTGGCGGAGGGGGGTGGCAGAAACGGAGCGTTGGAAAGGTGAATGAGTCTGGCAGCCGTATTCAGGATCGACTGAAGCGGGGATAGCCAGTGAGGAGGGAGTTGCAGTAATCAAGTCGTGATATGATGAGGGAGTGGATGAGCTGTTTAGTGGTTTCTGGGGTTAGGAACGTGCGTATTTTGGCGATGTTGCGGAGGTGGAGTCTGCATGAGTTTGTTAAAGATTGGACTTGGGACTGGAAGGATAGGTTGGAATCCAGAATGACACCAAGTACTCTGGCCTGTGGGGCGGGTTTGATGAAGGCGTTGTTGGACATGATGGAGAAGTCAATGGGGGGGTGGGGTCCGGGCTGGGGGGAAGACAAGAAACTCGGTTTTGGAGAGGTTCAGTTTAAGGAAGTGGAGCGACATCCAGTCTGATATGTCGCTCAGTAGGTGTGTGATTCGGGCGGAGAATGAGGGGGTGAGGTGGGGGGTTGAGAGATAGATTTGTGTGTCATCGGGCATATAGGTGGTAGTTAAAGCCGTGAGAGTGTATGAGTTGGCCAAGGGAGGAGGTGTAGATGGAGGAGAGAAGGGGCTCGAGGACGGAGCCTTGAGGGACCCCAACAGAGAGGGGGAGTGAGGGGTAGGTGGTAGCATTATAGGTAACGCTGAAAGAGCGTTGTGACAGGTAGGATGAGAGCCAGGAGAGAGCAGAATCTCTGAGGCCGAGGGAGTGTAGTTTTTTGAGGAGGAGGGGGTGGTCGACTGTGTCGAAGACCGCAGAGAGGTCAAGGAGTAGGAGCACTGAATAGTGGCCATTAGCTTTGGCGGTTAGCAGGCCGTTGGAGAGTTTGAGTAAGGCAGTTTTGGTGGAGTGTAGGGGACGGAAGCCGGACTGTAGGGGATCGAGGAGGTTTTTGTCATTGAGGTGAGAGCTTAGGTGGGTGTAGACTAGGCGCTCGAGGAGTTTGGATGTGAATGGGAGCAGGGAGATGGGTCTAAGGTTGTTCGGGTCATTGGGGTCCAGGGAGGGATTTTTAAGTATGGGGGTGATGTGTGCATGCTTCAGAGGGGAGGTGAAACTGCCGGAGGAGAGGGAGAGATTAAAGATGTGGGTGAGGGAGCGTAGGATGGAGGGGGAAGGAGGTGTAGGAGTTGTGAGGGATAGGGTCGAGGGGGCAGGTGGTGAGGTCGGCTTCAGAGAGGACTTTGGAGACTTCCTCGATGGTAGTAAGGTCAAAGGTGCGGAGTGTTGAGGGGGCTTCAGTATGAGGAATGTAGGGTGGGGTGGAAGTGGAGGTCAGAGCAGTGTGGGGGGGGCCGTGGTAGAGGGGTGATGAGGGGGTAGCTGAGTGAGGGGGAACGGGGTTGGAGGGAGTTTGAGCAGCGACGAAGTCCCTGCGGGTTATGTCGAGGGAGAGGGGGGATGAGGGGGTAGCTGTGTGAGAGGGGACGGGTTGAGAGGGAGTGTGAGTTGCGGCGATGTCCTTGCGAATTGTGTCAATCTTGTTTTTGAAGTGATTGGCAATCTCAAGGGCGGTGAGTGAGGTGTTGGGTGGAGGTGGGGGTGGAGAGAGTAGAGAGTTGAAGGTGGAGAAGAGTCGGCGAGGATTGGAGGAGAGGGCCTTGATGAGGGTCAGGAAGTAGGCTTGTTTGGCTGCATGGAGGGAGGAGGTGTAGGTGTGGAAGGCAGATTTGGAGCGGGTGAAGGCTTGTTGGGATTTGGTTTTGCGCCATAGTCGCTCCAGGGCACGACTGTTTTGTTTGAGGGTTTTGGTGTGATCAGTCTGCCAAGCTGGAGCGGTCGGGGTCTGATGTTGCGTGTGGTTAAAGGCGCTAGTGAGTCAAGGGCTGTTGACAGCGCGTTCTTATAGGCAGTCATAGGCAAGTCAGGGCAGGACAGGGGAACGATGCTGTCATGGAGTTGATCAGCTGCAGAGTGGAGGGGGGCAGGGTTAAGGTTGCGGAGGTTACGGCTGGTAGTAGTGTGACATTTGTAGGGGTAGGACGAGGAGATAGAGAAGGTAATCAGGTTGTGGTCAGAGAGAGGGAAGGGGGTGTTAGTGAGGTTGTGGGGAGCGCAGCGGTTGAAGACGAGATCAAGGATATTACCGTTGGAGTGGGTGGTGGATTGTATGCACTGTGCAAGTGCAAAAGAGGAGGTTAAGTGGAGGAAATGGGATGTGGCCGGGTTGTCGAGGGTTGACAGGGATGTTGAAATCCCCAAGGATGATGGTGGGTAGCTCAGAAGAGAGGAAGAAGAGTAACCAGGAGGAAAAGTCATCCAGGAAGCGGGATATGGATCCAGAAGGCCGGTATATCACAGCAATCTTCAGGGGGGTTGGGAAGAATAGTCGGACGCAGTGGGCCTCAAAGGAGGAGAAGGATAGAGAGGGGGGGTTTGGGAGGACTTGGAAGGTGCTCTGTGGTGACAGGAGCAGACCAACCCCACCACCTTTACGACCGTTGGGTCTGGGTGAGTGGGTCCAGGTGAGACCTCCGTAGGAGATTGCAGCAGGGGAGGTAGAGTCAGTGGCCTGTATCCAGGTTTCAGTGATCGCTAGGAGATTGAGGGGAGCGGGAAACAAGGAGGTCGTGGATGGCGGTAAGCTTGTTGCACACCGATCGGGCGTTCAGGAGTGCACATGAAAATGGGGGGGTGATTTTAGGGAGCAGGGGGGACAGATACTAAGTTGCGAGGGTTGCGGCAGGACGTGGAGGCGGGAGGGTTTTGTGTGGGTGAGGGAGGTGGTGGAGGGCCAGGATTCGGGGAGTTGTCCCCTGCGGTTAGGAGGAGGAGAAGGGTGAGAAAGGTGGCATGGGAGCGGGATGTGCAGGAGCGTGTGAAACTACTAGTGGAGGTGTTGGGGTCAGTGGGAGAGTGGAGTATTAGGAGGAGGTGGTGGGTGCCATAGAGGGGTGAAGGAAGCAGTGAGGACACAATATACAATTGTTCGGGAGGAGCAGAGGGATATAGTGAATGGATTTTGGGAACGGAGGAGAGGAAAATGAGGAGGAGTGGAAGAGGCATTTTAGGGAGGTGCCCAGGAGGGCGGATAGGAGTGGTGAGAGGCTTGGTTGTCGATACGCCTCTGCCCGCTGGACTATCTCATCGATGTGTCTTCTGGTGGCTGGAGTTTAGGGGAGAAGGGAGAGGAGATCGGGTGTGGATGGACGGTTTCCAGGGGCGCTTGAGTGGTGACAGTCTGGGGTGCAGAGGGGTCTCTCGTTGTGGTGGCTTTCAACAAGGGTATTTTAGGACTAAAATTTAATTTTTTAAAAGATATTGTATGCTTTTTTTAATCTTAGTTTAGTAAAATATTATATACATAAACATTATGATCTTACGGTATGTATTTAAGTACCATATTTTTCGCTCCAAAAGACGCACCAGACCATAAGACTCACCTAGGTTTTAGAGCAGGAAAACAAGAAAAAAAATATTCTGAACCAATGGAATGCAGACATAGTACAGGAAATGACCAGAGACCGCAGATGTACTACAGGAGATGACCAGAGACTGCAGACATAGTACAGGAGATGACCAGAGACTGCGGACACCGTACAGGAGATGACCAGAGACTGCGGACACAGTACAGGAGATGACCAGAGACTGCGGACACAGTACAGGAGATGACCAGAGAATGTGTACACAGTACAGGAGATGACCAGAGACTGCGGACACAGTACAGGAGATGACCAGAGACTGCGGACATAGAACAGGAGATGACCAGAGACTGCGGACATACTACAGGAGATGACCAGAGACTGCGGACACAGTACAAGAGATGACCAGAGACTGCGGACACAGTACAGGAGATGTCCAGAGACTGCGGACATAGAACAGGAGATGACCAGCGACTGTTGACATGGTACAGGAGATGACCAGAGACTGCAGACATAGTACAGGAGATGACCAGAGACTGTGGATGTACTACAGGAGATGACCAGAGACTGCGGACATAGTACAGGAGATGACCAGAGACTGCAGACATAGTACAGGAGATGACCAGAGACTGTGGATATACTACAGGACATGACCAGAGACTGCGGACATAGTACAGGGGATGAACAGAGACCATTCATCAATGCACATATATACAGTTTGGCATAGCAGTCCACAGGCAGTCTATGGGGGGGGGGGGACAGAACTGGCCAACCGGGCTCAGCATCCCTCAGCATCCTCTCTGAGGGCGGGGCTCCCACTCACATCTCAGCTTCTAGTAATAGTTCTCACCCGAGCATACAGGCTGCATGGGGCGGGGTCAGTGGAGCTCCTGGCCCTGGCCCCGCCCCCTCCCTGCTGGCTGGGAATATACAACGGTGTCTTCATCGTACCCTGTTGGCTCTGCAGTGCAGTGATCGGGGCCCCAATCTAAGGGCGGTGCAGGCTTAAGGGGCAGCTGCTTTGGGCCCTGCCTGGCGCTGCTGCACTGCTGACTTGGATTCCTCCTCTCTTCTGCCACAGAAGAGCCGAGAGGCCAGCCCGGTATTCTAATGTGGTGATAGGGGGAGGGGGTAAAGCCTGGTCAATATTCGCTCCATAAGATGCACCGACATTTCCCCCCATTTTTGAGGGGTAAAAAAGTTCATTTTATGGAGCAAAAAATACGGTATTTCCAGCCAGGTGGAGCTCAATGGCTATAGCTCAGATTAAGTCAGATAAATGAATCATTCACTTTCCTTTCCTCTCCTTGTCTATTCTATTCAGACAGGACAAGATGGAGATTACATGACAGAGAGAGTCTGAAAGCATACAGCTGCTGCTGGGCTTTCTCTGCGGAAAACTCATAATGCTCATTGTGCACCCTGTCTCATGACCATGGGTCATAGATACTTAGATGACCAAGCCGAACTTAGACATTCCAGCTGCTTACAGTTAACATGACAGCAAATCTATAACTAGTTTGCATACCCAATATTTTACTTTAAAGCTTTTATTTATTACACTGCTTTAATAAAAACCCTGCTCTGTTTTTTTTTACCTGCCAAATATCTTCTATTTCTTTTTTTTATTTTATTTTATATATCTTTTATTCATTTTAATTACAATATAAAATAAATCACATTAATATTAACTAGTTCCAAACTATACATGATACCTCATTCCCACCCCTCTTCCCTCCCCATTCCTCCCCCTCCTACTCCCTATCCCTGTCCATTAAGATCTTCCTTATTTCTTCTCTTAATGCTGTCTACCTCCCTTATTCAGAGCTATAGATTCCATTCCATCTGAACTACTTTCTCAACTAATCTTTTTCTTTCTCCAACTCGACTTCTGGGGCCCCCATTATCTCATAATATTTTTTCGAGGCCTTAAAATTATCCCACTTACTCCAGTCCTTTCTAAATTTTTCCATTCTGTCTTCATCCATATGGAATACCTCCGCCATCCTGTATATATATTCTATCCTGTAAATCCATTCTCTCATCCTTGGGGGGGTCCTGTATTTTCTAAAATTTGGGGATCTAACCTTTAGCGGCACTAATTAGACGATATAATATACTACCTTTAAACTTTTTCTCTGAAACCTCTGTAGTGTAAATTAAATACACCCATGGGTCTTTTTGGATACTCACTCCCAAAATCTCCTGTAGACAAACAATTGCATCCTGCCAATATTTCTGGATTTGTTTACACTCCCACCAAAAGTGTGACGTAGTCCCTCTTTCTCCACAACCCCTCCAATAAAGGGATGAAACTTCTTTGCTTAATTTATGTGCAATATTCAGTGTATAATACCATCTTGTCAAACATTTATAATTCATCTCCACCATATTCAGATATACAGCCCGTGTACTAATTTAAACACTTTTTATTTCTATTGCTCATCCATCTTTGTGCCCAATTATTTTTCCAAACTCTCTAAGAATCTTGGAGGCTGTCTCCTTTAACTCGTTGAGCATCTTATATATTTTGGACAATACATGTTTACAGGATGTATCCTGGCTCAACATTTTTTCAAATGGAAGCATATCCTCCACCTCCCTCAGAGGGCGGAAAAGTGTTGAAACAAAATGTCCCAATTGGTAATACCTAAATTCATCTAATGCAAAAAATAAATCCTACCTTTCCCTCAGTTCCTGAAAGTTACACACCTTCCCCTTAAATAAAATATCCCCCAAACGTGCATCTCTATTCCTAAAACCATCTTCCTGCTATTTCATCATTCCCTGGTGGAAAAAAACAGAAAACCAGTCCCCATAAGGGGAATCCTGAGTGAATTAAACTCCCAACCCATAGATTTGTGTAGCCTATCCCAAACTCTCAATACCTCCCTTGTCAAAACACTCCCATTTTCCCCCAACATACAGAATTTACTTGGAATCTATATTATCTTTCCCAGTTGTGCCTTACTTAGTGTTTCCTCCATTTTTAACCAACTTTTTTCCTCCGCATTATATGTCCAGTCCACCACCCTCGACAGGAGCACCAACATATAGTACTTCCTCATATCCGGCAGGTTCAATCCTCCCCTCTCCTTGTTTTTACAAAGTATCTTGTAACCAATTCTTACTTTCTTGTTAGCCCAAATAAAACTCAATATAATTTTTCTTATTATCCTAAAAAAGGGTCCTGGCAAGTCAGTGGCGTCCCGAGGCAGGTGCGGGGGGTGCGGTCCGCACTGGGTGATACCGGACCCACTCCATAAAAAGGTAAGTTGTAAAGCAAGCCGACGATCCCCGCAGGATGGATCCGATCCATCCTGCGGGGATGGTCGGCTTTCTTTACAACTTACCTTTTCTTAGAGCGAGTCTGGTGTCACCCCGTATAGGTTGCATGCCGATGACCCTGCGTGGATCGTCAGCATGCAACCTATACGGGGTGACACCGGTGTAGCAGCAAGATGTGTCTCCCATGTAGATGTCCTCCTGAAGCAACTGTGCATGTCCCGGTTTCAGGCACGATCAATCTATGATAGAACTACTGCTATCATCGACTGATCGTGCCTGAAACCAGGACATGTTGCTTAAGGGGGTGACATATCTACATGGGAGACACATCTTGCCGCTACACCTGGACCCGCTCCAAGAAAAGGTAACTTGTAAAGAAAGCCGATGATCTGTGGATTGAGCATAATGGATCCTCAGTGTCACCAAGTGTTACCGCATCGGGTGACACCAACACTAGGGATGCCTCTGTGGCAAGTATCATTTGAAACTTGTACAGTATCTTTGGGACAACTACCATCTTTACCAAATTAATGCGCCCAAGCCACGAGACCCCTCCTATTGAAAGCCTTCTCAACTCATCTTTGATTTCATTTATTAATGGTATATAATTGGCTTGATATAAACCTTTTAATGAAGGAGTTAATTGTATTCCTAAATAACTTAATTCTCTCTCCCTCCACACAAAAGGAAATTCCTTTTGCAGGGCCAACATCTCAGCTTTTGCTACATTAATGTTTAAGATCTCTGATTTAGATAAATTTATTTTCAAGTTTGTTAACTTTTTCAGCATCTATTGATAATAAAATCGTCGACTGTTCCCTTCTTCTTGCTTTTTGTAAGAGTAACAGAGTTCTCAGTCTGTTATCTCTTCCCTCTCTTCTTGGAACAAACCCCACTTGATCATAAAGTATCCACTCTGGCATTAATTCCTTCATCCTTGTAGCCAAGACCTTCGAAAATAACTTTGTACCAATATTTAATAAAGATATCGGTCTATAACTAGTACATTGTGCACTATCCTTTCCTTCTTTAAGAATAACTGTTATATGTGCATGCAATGATTCCTCTCTCATTTCTACTCCCTCCCCTAATGCATTCATATACTTACATAATTTAGGTACTAGTATTTCTTTAAATGTTTTATTGTAGCTCACTGTAAACCTATCAGGTCCCAGACTATTTCCCCCCTCCATCTTCTTTAGTGAAATATTTATTTCCTCCTGAGATATTACTCGTTCTAGTGCTGCCAGTTTCTCTTCTGATAATCTTGGTAAATGTGCCTCTTTGAGAAATTCAATACTCCTCCTTATCCTCTCTTCTTCTACCCCTTTCTGTTTTTTTGAGTTCACTTCATAGAGCTTACTATAGAACTTTTGGAACATACTAGCTATATCCATGGTGGAATAAACCAGCTTTCCTTTCTCATTTTTAATTTTTTCTCTATAATTTTTAGATTTCTTATCTTTTACACTCTTCATCCAATATTTCCCTGGTCTATTTCCCCACCTGTATCTTTCTTGTGCAACACTGTTAAAAACTTCCTAGTCTTATGCTCCATTAGATCTTTTAATTATTCTCGCTTATGCATAATCTTCTGATATATATCTGATTCCTGCTTCTTTTTATGGGTCTGTTCTAAATTATATAGTCCTTCCAGCACCTCCTTCATTTTTTGCTCCCGTTCTCTCTTTTTTTTAATCCCTTCGGCTATCAGTACTCCTCTAATACAAGCTTTATCAGTCTCCCAGATAGTGGCTATTGATATTTCCTCTGTTTCGTTCAAGGTAAAATATTGTTACATTTCCTCCTTTATCCTTCTCTCTGTATGTATATCTTGTATAAGTGACTCATTCAACCTCCACATAACCCTCTTATTCTGAGCTCCTTTTACTCTTAAACTTGCTGTTACCAGTGCATGATCTGAAATGGACATAACCTTAATATCAGCTCCAATCAGTGATTCTAGTGTCTATGCTCAATTAAAATGTAGTCCAAACGCGAGTACGATCTGTGCGCTGCTGTAAAGAAAGTGTAATCTCTTTCCCTAGGATGATTCACTCTCCAAATATCTATTAATTGATTTTGATATAACCTTTTTTTAGCATGCTTAAAACTCTACTCTCATCTCTCTGCACTCCTGA